TTGCTAAACATAGTTTTGCCTTCCGTGGTTCTAATGAGAAATTATATCAATAGCAATGGCAATTTTTTGGGCTTGATTGAAATGTTAGCCGAGTTTGATCCAATTATCCAAGAGCATGTTAGATGTATCACAAATGATGATGTACAGTTTCATTATCTTGGGCATAACATCCAAAACGAGTTAATACTTTTGCTTGCTTCTACAATTAAAAATGAAATTTTTAAAATAAAACAAGCGAGCTAAGTATTTCTCTGTGATACTTGATAGTACTCCTGATATTAGTCACCAAGAGCGAATGTCTTTGATGATAAGATATGTGGATGTCTCTTTAAATTATGTTAGTGTTGAAGAATCACTTTTAGGAATTTTAAATGTGAATGATACAACCAGTCAGGGACTTTTTGAAAAATAATTGAAAAATCTTGGTCTTGACATATTTGATGTACGGAGACAATGATATGACAATCAGTGGCGGACCTAGCCTTGGTCTTGCTAGCAATGGCGGATCTTGACAAAATTTCTTTCGGGGGCCAAATATTCAATTCATGAAATCATAAGCCTTGTCATAGAGCCCACAATATATATGTAAAAAAAAATATTTCGTATTAAAGCTTTCACAACTAATCCTAATATGTTGTTAATCCAAAGACTAATATCATTTCATGATAATTATTAACATAAAAAAAGGATATCATATTATTTCTACTAATTTCATACTTAGTATATCGTACTCCGTATCGTAAATAGCTAATTCATACATTTTCTAACTCATTGCACAGATTAAACAAAACAATAACGTACTACGTTCTAGTTTCTATAACAGTAAAAACTCTAAAAAAAGATCCCTTTAAAAATTAAAAGAAATGAAAATCGACATCAAGAAAAAACATTTGCCATAGTGTAAATATATCATATGTCATCAAACCACATGTGTATTGGAAATTGTGAACAAAATAGACTTTGGAGCTTGAGCTCTAGCTAACGCAAGCTTCACAGCAATGTATTATGGTTGGGCTACGCTACTATGACTTTTGGGCCTCTTTATAAAATTTGCTGGATAATAACAATTTTTAGCTAAAAATTTAAGGGGGGCTAGACCCCAACCCGCCCCTTAAATGATCTGCCCCTGCCTGCTAGGTCACGTGACCTAGAGGAAAAAAAAAATCAAGGTCCAAATTTATGTTTTTTTTTAAAAAAAAAAAAAGAAGAAGAAGAAGTAGAAAAATCCTCACACAATCCTTTCTTTCTCTCTCTTCCCTATTTCACATTGTTATCTCTCTTTCTCTTTCTTCCCCTCTTTTTCACACTTCTCTCTCTCTTCCTCTCATTCTCTCTCTTCCACTTATAAATCAATTTATTTTCTCTTAGTTTAGTTTTTTCTTTTCAATGGTTTTGTAGTTTATTGATTTTCATGTGATTATTTGAATTTTTTTTTTCTTGTTTATTTCAATTCACTGTAGCAACTGTAGGTTTGTGCCCTGTTTTTTTTTTGTTTTCCTTTTTTAATTGGTTATGAACTTATGATTATTTGATTATCATGTGATTAATTTGATTATCCCTCAATTCTATTATGTTGTTATGCTATGTGTTGTTTAAGACATTACATTAAGTGGGTTTTCTTTTAATTTATGTTGTATGGATTTTTTAATTTTATGTTTGTATAATTAACTTGGGTATTTTTATTTTTGTAAAAAAAATTAACTTGGGTATTTTTGACAATATTAGATTGTTTAAATTGTGACTTAATTTTCATAATGAAAAAGGAAAAGAAATGTGTGATATAACAAGTTTCTTTAGTCCTAATTAGCATTTTCCTCCTACACAATATCCACCTCCTAGACCGATAGGTATGCGGTCGATGGGTGAAGATCGATAGTTGACGGTGACCCAACATCCTTTAAATCCTGGATTCGCCACTGATGACAATTGGTCAAATATGAAAGGAAAATATCACAGTGTGCAAAAGAAATTTTTAGATATAAATCCGAGAGCCTTTTATACTCCTTGTGGTTGTCGTAGTCTTAATTTGGCATTGTTCTATATGGCTTACTCTTGCAATAAAGCTAAGGATTTTTTTGAAGTCGTACAACGCATATATACAATTTTTGTTAATTCTACTAAGTGATGGAAAATTTAGAAAGATAATGTAAAAGTGTTAACTCCAAAATCAATGTCATCCACTCGTTGGGAGAGTCATATAGATAGTGTCAAAGCTATAAAATGTCAAATGTTAGATTTTAGAGAAGCTTTACTTGAAGTGTTAGATACAGATCTTGATTCTAAATTAAGTAGTGAAGCTAAATCCTTGGAAACAAATGAGCTATAGGTGATTTTGAGTTTTTATTGTCAATAATTATATGGTTTGAAATTTTGTCTGCAATTAGTATGGTTAGCAAGGTTTTGCAATTGAATGATATGGTTATTCATGTTGCTATGGAAAAAAAATAAAGGAGTTGATTTCATATTCTGAAAGTATATATATATTGGATTTAATATTGCTTTGGATAATGGTAAAGAAATTGCGATTGAATTGAATATCGATCCAATATTTCCTTAAAGGCGTGTTATTCTAAGAAAAAAACAATTTGATTAGAATTTAGATACCCATTCAGTTGAGTTATCAAGGGAAGAATCTAATAGAGTAAACTATTTTCTTATCCTTATTGATTAGGCTACTGTTTCTCTTAACAAAATATTTGAGAAATATCAAGAGTATGAAAGTATAATTGGTTTCATGTTTAGTTCTGAAAAGTTAGAATCATTGGATGATGCAGCTTTAAAGCCATGTTGTAGTCATTTTGAGCAAGCATTAAAACATAATGTGCAATCTGATATTGATGGACATGAACTATATGTGGAGTTAAATTATTAAGAGATATCTTTCCTGCAATGCCTGCAAAAAAAATGGGAGTTAAAATTTTTGAGAGATGTAGATTGTTTTCCTAATGCAAATATTGCATATAGGATCTTATAGACTATTTCTGTGATAATTGCTTCTGCAAAAAGGTGTTTTTCAAAATTAAAGTTGTTGAAATCTTATTAATAGTCTACCATGTTACAATAAAGGCTTAATGGATTACCGTTGATAGCAATTGAAAATGAACTTTTTGAGAAGGTGGAATATGAAGACATGGTTAATGAATTTGCTTTAATAAATTCTAGAAGAATAGCTCTTTTAAATAGTTTGATATTTTAATAAGTTGATACTGTATTTTGATATTAATCAAATTATTTACAATTTTAATAAAGTAGTTTGCATTTTTGAGTTTCGTTTAAAAATGTTGTTATATGATAACTTCTTAAAAAAAATTATTAGGGCCCAATTTCTATGTTTAGAACAGGACCCCCAAAATGATTAAGAAGGCCCTGTGTAGCACCACCACAACCTACTGCCAGAAGTAACCCGCGTCATCCTCAGACGATAACCAGTCGTCCCCCGCTTCATCCATCAACACCGAAAAAGGCGAAAAAGCATCGTGAACAATACTATTACATGCCTGTTGTCTACGTGATCTGTGTGATATGTCGAGCCCTCCCATCGACCGCTAAAATATCCATTAAGGCCAAGGAAACCATCCAAAAGTGCATCGCCGAGTTCATCGGCTTCATATTAAACGAGGCCAATGACATACGTAAGGTGGACTACCGCATGGTGACTATTGCAGATGACTTGGTAGAAGCTATGTATAAGCTGGGGTTTGACCACTATGTCGAACCGCTCCGGACTTTAATTCGTAGGTACCGTGAGGTGAAGGGTAAAGACAATACCCAGGCCCAACAGATGAGATTATATAAGCCCATTCTTCTAGAGCTTGCTGTAATTGTCTCGCCTCTCGCGGTGAAGTCTACAACTACAACCCCCATGAAGGAGTAAGGGTAGTTAACAACATTGGTGGTGGTCACGGCGAATATGTTAACCGTGAGTATGGTGGTAGTATGAATATGTTGGACATGGATATGGTGGTACAATTAATGGTAATACTAGGATGAACTATAATGGTGGGAGTTCTAGCAATAACGATAATGGTGTTGATCAATATGTTGACCATGGGTATGGTAATGTAATTAATGGTACTACTATGATGAACTTTAATGGTGGGAGTTCTAGCAATAACAATAGGTATGGTAGTACAAATAATAGTACTACTATTATACAATGGGTATGGTAGTACAAATAATAGTACTACTATTATGAAGCTAAGTTTGATAATGTTAGGAGTTCTAGTAATAGCATTGGTGGTGGTCGAGTTGAATACGTCAACCATGGGTGTGGAGTGGGTGTCATTGGTGGTGGTGTTATTGATAATACTACTGTTATTAACTATGACATTGTTTAGGAGCTCTAGTAATAGCAGTGTTGGTGGTGCTTGTCAAGAATATGTTAACTAGCATGGATATGGAGTGAGTGGCATTGGTGGTGGTCTTGTTGAATATGTTGACCACGGGTTTGGTGGTAAAATTACTATGATGGAATTTGGTGTTGGGAGTTCTAGCAATAACATTATATTGGTGGTAATGGTGGTGGTGGTGGTGGCGGCGAGAAATATGTTAATCTTGGATATGAAGTGGTCATTGGTGGTGTTAATAACGAATATGTTAACCAAGGGGCATGGAATGGTCGACATTGATAATGGAACTGGTGAAAATTTTGTTGGCCAAGGGTATGGCACGACCAACATTGGTGGTGGTGGTAGTGGTGAAAAATTTCTTGACCAAGGGTTTGAAGTGTGTGGCATTAGTGGCAGTCTCAGCAAATATATATCAACCAAGGGTATGAAGTGGTTGGCATATGAAATAGAAATGGCGAAAAATTAGTTGACCAGGGGTGTGGAGTGGCCTGCGTAGGTGGTTGTAGCTTTAATCATGTTAACAATGGATATAGAGTAGTTGGCATTATTGGTGGTTACGGCGAAGGAGTTGACCATAGCCATGGTGAACATATTCGCCACAGCCACCACCACTAGTGTTATAACTAGAACTCCCAACATTATCAAATTTCATCATAGGAAGCATATTAATTGTACTACCATATCCGTGGTCAACATATTGACCACACCATTATTGCTACTGCTAGAACTCCCACCATTATAGTTCATCATTGTATTATCATTAATTGCACCACCATATCCATGGCCAACATAGTCACCAATACCACCATACCCACGGTTAACATATTCGCCGTGACCACCACCAATGTCGTCAACTACCCTTACTCCTTTATGGGGGTAGTAGTTGTAAGATTTCACCACAAGAGACGAGACCACCGCAGTAGGCCCTTTAGGACTGGGCCTATACAATATCATCTGTTGGGCTCGGATATTGTCTTTACCCTCCGCCTCACAATACCTATGAATGAAAGTCGAGAGGGGTTCGACATGGTGTCGAAGCCCTAACTTAGACATGGCTTCTATCAAGGCATCAATAGTAATCACCTTGCGGTAGTCTACCTTACATGTGTCGTTGGCCTCATTTAATATGGAGATGATGAACTTGGTGATGCACAGCTGGATGGTTTCCGTGGCCTCGTCGAATATTTTGGCGGTCGAGGGGAGAGCTTGACGCATCATACGGATCACGTTGGCAATAGGTATGTAATGGTTTTGTTCACGGTGGTTTGCTACTTTTGGCGGTGTTGGTGGGTGAAGTAGGGCATAATTGGTTCTCATCTGAGGACGAGGCGAGTTGTTTTCGGCAATAGTGGTGGTTGTGGTGCTACGTTACTTCCAATGATGCTTATTAATGTTGCTGAAAATATATAAGGGGACATAAATAAAGTCATAAAACATTCAAGCTAGCAAATATGCAATTATGTGTAATGGAGTACAAATGTACTAATGAGGTCTTAGTCTAGTGGTAAAAAGTCGTTATTTTTAAATTTTGAATCCCTCATTTGGAGTTTTTAATTTGTAAAAAGTTATTCTGTTATAACAAAAAGTGTCAGAAAGAGTTTTAAGTGTCAAGTCACATAGTTTTCAAAAAAAAGTGTCAAACCACATATTTTTTTTTTAAAAAAAAAAAAGTGTCAAGTCACATGCATTTCATTTTATTATATGTTTAATTTTATTTATTTTAGTTTGGATTTATTGTGTTTGGTATGCACTTACGCCCCCTCTTTCTATGTAATGTCGTATTGAGAATTTTTATATACCCAGGTGTATTAATATTTTTTGCTCTTTAAAAATCTTAATATCAAAAGAAAAAAAATATCAAATAAGCAAAAAATCACCTTTGGACGCACCTACTTCTCTGTGAACCAAGTGTATATAAATAGTTCTCACACCATATATAGATTTGGGAGCTATTCAATATATTGCTTAATTAATCTACAAACATTCTTCAATGATGGACAGAAAATGAAGCAAAGAAAAGGAATCTAGAGAAATATAAGTAAATGAGCGACGTATAACTGTTTTTAGTAAAAAAAATAATAATAATTAAAAGGAAAAATTGTCAAAAATGATATAACCTTTGCCCCCCTCCCCCTTTTTTTTAATAATACAACATTTGGATTATTTTTTAATATTATAACATTTGAGGGATGTTAATTTTAAACATGACAAAAAACTTGTATCCTGTTAAATCGGTTGTCCATGACATGTGTCCTCGGATAATTGGTCTAAATAATAAAATTTTTTAAAAAATATTTTAGATTTTTTAATTCTAATAAAATTATTTTACATTTCATTAACTTCCAATTAAGAAAATTAACAAAATTAAAAAAAAAAAAAGAAAAAAAAACCAGTCACCACTCCTCTTTCCACTACGTCAAGTAAGATAAAATCTTTAATCATCAAAATGATGTCGTTGACTATAGCACCGACTTCACTTGCTCCGAGTTCAACCATCACCGGAAGCGGGGATCTAGTGACGACAATTCTAAGATTAGGATCGAAGGATTTGGAGAAACTCAAACTTGATTTTCGGGCCGAAGTTCATCAGATGCAAGCCGTTTTTCTTCAAAAATTCTGACGTGCCGCCGACGACAACGGTTGAGTCTAGACCCAGGGATTTGAGGATGAGGAGGCGCAACGGGGAAGGGGGACGTCGAGGATAGAGGAAAAGGGAGATGATGAGTCCGGCTGGCAGTGGAGGGTTGGCCGCCGGCCGTACAGATCGCCGGGTAGGGCTTGCGTACAGGGAAGGGGGAGATGAGGTGGTTGGGTTGTGGGGGAAGTGGTGGCTGGGTGGTGGGGGAGGTGGGTGGGTTTATTATTATTATTATTATTATTATTATTATTATTATTATTATTAAATGATTCGATTATATCTTCGCTCCCTACTAATTTCTTGTAATTTATTTGACTTTGTAGGTTTTTGAAATTTTTTATAATAATAATAATGGATTGCTTGAGTGGTGCTACTATGACTGTCTCAGATGAGTTAGTTGACTCTATTTTTGGGGTGGTTAATTTCTTTCTAGCTGGAAGATGTCCTATGGAGCTAGGAGAGTATATTACTAGTGCTCCTCTCACACCTCTTGTCAAGCCTGGTGGTGGTATTCGTCCTATAGCTGTGGGTACTGTTTGGCGGCGTCTGGTTTCGAAGGTCGGTGCTAGTATGGTTGGCCAGTCTTTAGGAAGTTACTTTGATGGTCTCCAATTTGGTGTTGGGGTTTCTTCGGGAGGTGAGGCGATTCTTCATGCTGTTAATCGATCGATTGAGGATCGTGGTTCCGATGTTGGTCTTTCTATGTTGTTGGTGGATTTTCAAAATGCCTTCAATCTAGTTGATCGTGCGGTCATGTTACGTGAAGTTCGTCGTCGTTGTCCGAGCCTTTCGCGATGGGTTGAATTCTGCTACTCTAATCCCGCTAAATTGTATTACAAGGACCACACCTTATGGTCCTCTCACGGGGTGCAGCAGGGTGATTCCCTTGGTCCTCTGCTTTTTGCTTTGGTTTTACAACCCCTGGTGTGTAAAATCATAGACACTTTTGACGTATGTCTTCAGGCATGGTATTTAGATGACGGCGCAGTTATTGGTGACACGTTGGTGGTGGGGAAGGTTATGCAGTTGATTATAGAGGAAGGGCCTCGTTTTGGGTTACATCTTAACGTGGAAAAAAGTGAAGTTTTCTGGCCTACATAAGACCCTCAAAGTAGGCTTGTGGGTGTCTTTCCACCTAATATTGCTCGACCCTTGTGTGTTGTTAAGTTGCTTGGTGGTCTCGCTAATTTCGATTCTGGTTTTGGAGGTGAGCTTGTGATACAGAGGGTGACCAAGACCATTGCACTTATGGATAGGGTTGCTAAGCTTGATGATCCTCAGTGCTAGCTGTTGTTGCTTAGGGCTTGTAACGAAGTTTTTAAACTCTGTGCTATGCGTACTTGTCCCCCTAGTACTTTTGAGGTGGCTTAACGCACATTCGACGAGGCTCTTCGATATTCCTTGGAGCGTATCGTTGCTGCTTTAGGGCCTGGGTTTGGTGATTGGCAGTGGCGGCTTTCCACCTTACCTTTTGCGTATGGCGAGCTTGGTGTTTATTCCGCAGGTGATGTTTCATCATTATGCTTTTCTTGCTTCTCGGTTACAGTCTGTTGGGTTGCAGACAAAGCTTCTACGGCATGCTGGCGTTGTTGGCCTTGGTCGAGCTTTTGAGGATGCGTTGAGTCTGTTCAATAGAACGGTGGAGTCTGACATTTTGAGTAATCCTAGTGAGGTTGCTGCCCCTAAACTCATGAAGAAATTGACAGATATATATTTCACAAAGGTTACCGAATCAGCAGAATCCACCTTCTCTTTATCTCCTCATCAATCACCATTGTGTAAAACACAGCAAGGAGATCACACCTCTGCTTGGCTTCGGGCGGTTCCTATTTACGAGTTAGGTCAGACGATGAACGCAAAGACTTACCGGTGTGTGTTGTGCTATCGCTTGGGTGTTCCGTTATTCTCTATCTCGACGCCGCGCTCTGCTTGTTCAAGGGTTTTAACTGGGGATTTTTTCGGTGATCACACGGTGTTGTGTGTTGGTATAGTGGGTATTAAACATCGGCATAACATTGTGCGAGATACCCTTGTTGATGTTTGTTATCGTTCTGGGATTTCAGCTGGAAAGGAGGTTGACATTGGGTTGTTTGGAGGGAACGACGGGACCCTCAGACCTGCAGATGTGTTACTTTATTTTTGGGATCGTGGTCACGATGTCTGTGTTGACTTGACAGGGTCTTCTCCTTTGACACAGTCTGAGTTGTCTGACTTTGTTCCTGGACGGGTTGTGGTTGATGCAGCTCATCGGAAGCGGGTCAAGTACGAATCCAGCTGTCGGGCAATTGGATATGGCTTCCTTCCTTTCTCTTTCTCTACACTTGGGGAATTAGAGAAGGAGGCGGTGGCATTGTTGAAACGGATCCAGAAGTTCTCGAAGACTCAAGACATTGGGGCACGTGCTGCTGCTCATATCTTCACTAGAATAGGGTTTGCTATAGCTAGAGGAGTGGGGTCCCATATTGTATCTCGGCTTCCCACTAATTTTTTGTAGGTTGTATGACTTTGTCTTTTTTTTGAATAATAATAATAATAATAATAATAATAATAGTAATAATAATAATAATAAATAAGATTAATACTAATAATAATGATAATAATAATTAATTAAATAAAACCAATAAAACAATGACACGTGTCCGGTAACCGGTAAAAACAAGTTACCAACCGGTTATGTCTTGTTTAAAATTAACATCCCCAAAGGTTGTAATATTTAAAAATAATCAAAAGGTTTTATATTAAAAAATAATGGGACAAAGGTTGTATATTTTTGACAGTTTTTCCTATTTTAAATGCTTAATTTTGAAAATCATAATTATTAAATACTAATATCTCATGATAAGTGATACTAACATTATTTGTAAAATTAAGAAAGATTTGTGTAATTTAATGTTTGTGTTGATATTTTATATATATGATGGTTTAAAATAAAATTGTAATTTTGGTTTCTTAATTGTGATAGGGCAAGTTTTAAATTTTGTAGATTAAATGTAAAGATTAGAAATAGAGACAATAATTTAAATGAGTTGTTTTTTCACAAGCAAATTAAAGATCCAAATAAGTATATATAATAAATTTAAAAAGTAATTGAAAAGACTAGAAATAGACTGGTATAATGAAAAAAAAAAAAAAAATCGCAAGCAACTTAAAGATCCAAGTGAGATGAATTTTATTTCCCTAAAAATAATGAAATAAATTGAAGAGTAAAAACTTGTTACTTTAAAACTAGAACAAACATGAGACCAATAAACGCCTCTATTTATCAAATAAATAAATAACAAAAATATCATACAAATGAATCCCAAAAAAAAAAAAAAAAAAAAAAAAAAAAAAATAGTGGACCTAAAAATGTTTGTGTTTTTGCACAAAGTTCTATAGAGATACTCCAATATTTTACTTGAGATCTGTACTCCAAATCTCCAATGTTCATAAAATTTAGACAAACTATGTGTGCTTTTCACAATCCAAGTGTTCAAATTCTAACATCGCATATTTGAAACAATGCAAATGATGTTTGGTGGGGTGGCGTGTTTGTTACTATACATCATGTATTCATGAAACACCAATTTGACATTTAAAAAAAAAGGGAGATTAGATATATCCTGTTGATCAATCAAAGCAAGAAAAACAAATAAACAACATAAAACCTAAACCTGTATATATAAGATTCAAAATGAAC